CTTGGAGGCACTTCCCCAGAGAGGCCACAAGGCTCTCCTTCTCTTTACTCTCCTGGAGATCTCGCTCAAGAGAGGCCAGCTCCGCTTTGAGTCTAGCCTCCTTTTGCTGCCGCAGTTCCCTCTCTGCATTGACAGCTGCTTCCATCTCCCTCATTTTCTCCTCTAATAAAACTTTAACACTTTCAGTCATTTCGGTAACCCATACAGGCTTCTCCTCCACTCTGCAGCTCCTCACAGCCGGTACCGGCCTTCTGTTGCTCCTCGCCGCTACACTCCACACAATCTCTCTCTCCACAGCCATCTCCAAGGCCGCCTGCAAGGACTGTGGATGCTGCAGCTGTACCCCAACCCTCAAGTCCGCAGGGAGGAGAGCCCTGATGAATTGATCACGTGCCAGCTCACTCTGCACTCCGGGTGGCATGTGTGCATATGCCCGCCGCGTCAGGCTCTCCACGTCGTTAGCCAACGCATGCAGCGTCTCTCCAGACTTCCTACAGCGGTTACTCAATTCGTTCCGGAGCAGCTCTGGCGGGAAACACTGTCCAAACCGCCTCTTCAAAGCCCCCGCTAACGCTTCATAGCTGTGTCGGTCCTCAAGGCTAAGTAGTAGCAGACATGAAAGAGCCTCTTCTGTGAGGCACAAAGCTAGCTGTAGTGCTTTAGTCTCTACTGACCACCCCCCGGCATGAGCAAGCAGTTCAAATTGGGCATGGAAAGCCTCCCAGTCTGCCTTACCCGAGAATTTGGGTGTTTTCACTGACCCGGCGGCGGCTTCTGCTGCGGGTTGATGGGCGCCGCCATTGTTGTTTACCTCCAGCTTGGAAATGGCGCGAACTGCCGCAGAAGACGGAGACATTCCCGCGTCTCTAGCCATCCTCACCGCCGACTCTCTCAGGCGCTCTCTCACCTCCCGTGCACTCATGAACTCCTCTCTCATGTCCTTCGACCACCCGCATGCTCCATCTTCCTCTTCATCACTACTGTGTTTCTGCTTCACTCCCATCTTGCTGAACTTATCCATCCCCGCTAGCTTACCGGCTAGCTCCGTGACGCAGTTACGACTCTCGTCCGGATAGACGTCCCTTGTTCGAAAAGTTCACTTCTGACACCAATGTAACGTTCCCAAGATGAGTCGGAGACAGGCTTGTAGTTATTAGGCTTTAATAACTAGTATTTGAAGACAGATGATAACAGGTCAAGTACACTTTGTGGGTTCTACCGCACACTCCACTCACACTAACACTAACTTCTACACATACCCATATATATAGCACTGTCTACGTCACAACTCCCCGCCCTCCCCCGTCCGCTCCACCAACCACAGGCCCGCACCTCAGCCACCATCACGGTGCAGCTCTATGATTGGCAGAGAGACGGGGGATGCCTAAGTGACACCCTGAGTAGCCTATCAGGATCGCTACAATATTTACCAACACCACAGACTATTCGTAATACTTTTTTTTGGGATGTTATTATTTTTTGTAGATTTGTTGAGTACGTGTTTCCCCATATTTCGGAGCAGTATTAAAGGTAAGGGAGAAATAGACTGTTATAAAGAGTATATTTTCTTCAAGAATGTTTTTAGTATGATACAAAATACCTATTGTTTTTGACAGTTTAGTCTGTACATAATTTATATAGTGCTTCCAATTGAGTTTTTCATCAACAAGCAGTCCTAAAAATTTACATGCACCAACTTTTTCTATCTCTGTATTGCAAATCCGTATAATGCAGTCATTTCTACTCTCAGACTTTGTATTGAATAACAAGGGATAATTTATTAACTGCAAACCAGTTACATAGTATTTTTAATTCTGCATTCACAATTTTAACAAGATCGCCAAGATTATGATGGGAGCAGAGAATTCAAAGTTCAGGTTCAGCCTCAATATATTTGGGGAGAATTAAAATGAGCCGTCTTTATTTGTAGACAGCCAAGCCCCCTCCTGTGAGTGTTCGGTGAAGCATTATATGCTTACAAATCCAATGTAGGATATAAACATGACTAAACTGCAATGATAGCAAAGCTGTGGCTTGCGTTTTTGGGGTAATAAAGTCCAAATCATTGTTGGGCTGACAGCTGAGAAAATGCTGCATCTCTTGCATTTATTGACATAGAGGAGCCTTATTGTTTACCTTTTTAATATCATTTTTTGTAATTTTCAATTGCTTGGTTTTCGTGAAATTAGCCTGTTTTCCTATTAAAGTGTAACAGATTGATGAATCTCCACAGATCATCTTAAAGGCTTTGGAATCCCCCCCATTGTAGTTAAAAAACTGTCAAAACTAGGGCCCCCCAAACAGCATCTTGCATAGGGCCCCCAAATAGCTAGAAACGGCCCTGCACACGCACACACTCGCGAGCTTCCCCTCCAACGAAAATATCTTCCCTCCGTAGTATTTTTTATCATTTGCTCCACTAATAATAATAATAATAATCAATCAGATCGATGGATCCCAGAGAAGAGAAAACTTTGAAGGCCTTTTTCTCAAAATGTGACATATTTTGCTTAATATTTGGAGTACAAAAACAATCCTGATATCATTAGAAAGCTAGGAATATCCTCTTTCCAACAGTGTATACAACTCAAAATGTGTCTTCGGGTCAATGCGACTGATTTCGATAGAGCAGGTCACATTTATTTCCACATTTATTTATTTCTGTATTTATTTCTGTATTTATTTATTCCTATTTATTTATTTATTTATTTCCGTATTTATTCCTGTATTTATTCATACATTTATTAATTTATACTTGTGTCATGTTCCGTCCTCATTTGAGGGATTACTTGATTTAAATGTAGTAGGGTAGGTAATTCACTTCAGAAACACTTTTTGTTATATTCCATGGAATGCGCTAAACATCCCGATAGCAATGAATAAATTAAATGCTTTGACAATACATATACAAATATTTCATCTGTGGAAGCCGTGGCGCTGTAAAAAGCAAGTCCAATTATCTACCTCGGCAGATAATTGGATGGCCTACCTCCCTGCCAGCCTTGCATCTCGTGCACAAACTTATCTCGTGTCCTTATTGGTCATGTGCGCGTTCATGTTTGTTGGAGGAGGGGCTCTGTAAGGAAGTGGCAGCTTTTTTTCGGTTGTGTACTTTCAAATTCTAGCTTACTCGAGCTGGTTTCTCCATTCTTACCTACCCTACCTTTAGATACAAATGTAAATGCTGCCATACTCTGCTTGAGTGAACGGTTTTTATGTTATTTCACGGAACTTAAAAACTGACCCTGACGTGATTTGAACACGCAACCTTCTGATCTGGAGTCAGACGCGCTACCGTTGCGCCACAGAGTCAAGTGGGAAATGTCCTTTGTAGAGGTATACTATCGCTACTAATCACTATGTATATAATCACAAACGGATTTTTTGAGTGACACATAATATACAAATGTGACCCTAACGTGATTTGATCACATACTTGTTCGATCCGAAGTCAGACGCACCATACAGTTGCACCACAATGTCTGGACTAAAAAGTGTTGCAGTATTTAAACCAGATGGCATTCAATTGAAAGTCTATATTTTAAAGAGGAGGAGACGTCTGCTGATATTTTGGCTCCCAATTAGAAGACCCTGGACACCTGGGTTGCGGTCGAATAGTCAAAAAAATCAGCTCACGTCTATCCCTTGACCTCTGTGTGAAACGTCACGGGGTTAAGGGATAGTCGATAGGAGAATTCAAAAGGATTTAGAAGACTACCACTACCCGATCTGCACTTTCACTATCCGACGTATTTATGATGCGCCAGCAGAGGTCATAAAAGTGCGTCTGCGGAGAAACTATGGAAACTACAGTTTTCAATACAGCGGACCGGCGCTGCAGCGGACTAACATCGATGTATTTAAGAACGACGGACTACTGTAAACTCATCTCGCGACTCTGCACCGTGCTCTGATGCTGTTCTGTTATGCTTTATGAACGTGGACAACAGAAACATATTCATGACCAAAGTTGGAATTGAAATAAAAAAGGAAAGTGAAACTTATGTACGTCTGTCGGTCCGGCAGCTTCTCGAAATAGTGGCTATATGCAGCAGGTTTATTCGACATTGAGAAACGGCCCCGGTAAGTAGTGGCATCTGTGGCAGATGCCGGAAGTAGCCTACCTGCCACAGAGTAGTGGCATCTGCCAGAGCAAGCAGTGGCATCTGCCCGCTAGCAGTGGCATCTGCCCGCTAGCAGTTGCATCTGCCCGCTAGCAGTTGCCTACAGTCTGTAGCTGAGGCTAATACCAGTGGACACGTTGCTGTGTCAAGAATAGAAATGGAAGTAAATCTTGTGCTTAAGTAAAAGTAATTAAATGTAGGAATAGCCTTTACTCTGTTACAAGTCCTGCATTAAAATGTTACTCAAGTAAAAGTGCAAACGTATTGGCATCAAAATATACTTAAAGTAAACGTTTTTTGAATGTGTCACCTAAATCCACAGCATGGTGAATAGAGAGCTCAAATAAACTATAACCACCCGATACGTCACAGCAGTCGCAGGTTTGATCAGGCAGAAGTTACTCTCAAGCCATCTGGGTTTATAGATGTATCTTCACAGTCTGTATATTTTCTACTTTTTAATGCCATTCTAGTATTGTTTATTTCTACATGTGCAATGCCTCGTTTTGTTATGCTGCAGCATCGCAAACATTTCCCCAATTTGGTTTAAAGTACCTCTTATCTTGGGCCAGCAACAAAAATTGTTTTTTTAACCCTTTTGTAGTACTCAGCCCACTGATATAAATTTGTTTTATAAATAGTGTACCATCTACCACCTTTTGCCAATGGAAATCGCAAATAAGAGTAGAGCCGTGCAATAAAAATACCCAAATTATATTGAAGTGATTTCACAGGAGGTTTTAAACCATCTTAAAAATTGGGTTTCTCCTTCTGCAAGAGAGTTCCCAAGTCAAGAGTATCAACCTTGAAGCCAGAGTAATTAACAAAATATTTATTTAGCAGATATCTTTGTTCATGCTGTAGGCATCCACGTCACTAGTATCCACCCTGAAAGACAGGAAAAGACCACGTTTAGTACAAGTTAGAAATATGCAGTTATTAATATGCAAATACATTTTGTGAACATACATAACCAAAGTTGTAGCCAGGGGCCTGGTTGCGGATTGGCTGCCTGAAGCCTCTAGGGGAAGCAGTCTTTGCACCATTCCGTCCAGAACCAGCCATCACGGGTATCCTGGGTGTGTAAAAGTTCTGGACGGGTGCAGCAGCAGCGGCGGCCTGGCGCCCCTGTACGGGTGCAGGGTTATTGGGAAAATAGTCTCTCACATAGCCAACATCTTGAAAGCTGTCTCTTCCTTGCTCGTAGCTGTCGCTGGAAAAACTGAATGTGCCTGGGGGGTACTTTCCGTTCAGGAAGAAGAAGTCGTAGAACCGATAAGGGACCACAACTCCGCCCGTGTTGGCTTCTGGTCGAGGTTCGCTGGTTAAGCTTGGTCTAGCATATCCTCGTCCCGCAGACTCTGACCTAGGAGGTGGAGCTTGATAAGGTCCTGGAGGAAAAGGTCGTCGAGAAGGCACTAGGTCCTCCGTCTCCTGCTCAGAGTTACCCTGCTCTAAGATTTGGGAATAAGTGGACAACTCCCCTGCCTGGTAAAATGATCCAGGAGGACTCATGTTTTCTGGTTGACTGGAGACAACGGCACGGGTGCCTGTCGACACTTCCTCACCTCCGGAGAACATCCTGGGAGGTTCAACAGCCCATTTGACTTCTGAAACAGAAATGTAGAGAAGTTTGAAACTCACATGAATTTATAGTCAAGAAAAGAGTGAGGCCAAGATTTGCCAGGGATGATTCTTATTTGTGTTATTGCGCAATTGCAAACTGATTTGGCAGTTAAAGAACATGACATTAGGCATGAGATCATTACCTGGAGGGGCAGGTTGATAAGCAGCTTCTGGTTGAGCAGAGTTGTCAGGGTTTTGCCTTGCTGAAGTTCCCCTGTAACCTGAATTAACCGGTCCAAAAGAACCAGGACCAACAGCAGGTTCTGGTTGTCTTTGAGCAGTTAGCTTAGGGACACTGGGCTCCTGCTGTGGTACAGCCTTATAAAGTGATTGGTAGGTCCCATTGTAATACTCAACAGCCTCAGGTGAAAACTGAGCAGAGGGTCCTTGCTGGTACAAGCCAACATTATGAGCTGTGTTGGGTTTACTTCCACCAGGATAAGAGCCTAGGTACAAGAGAAACACAAGTTTACTAGGAAGCTAATTCAACTGAAAAAACAAACATTTTACCAAAGTCGAAGACACATCACCTTGCTGAACAGGAAGGCAGCACATGCTCACAATCAGCATCGCAAAGAGGGAAGCCCTGAAATAATTTGGAATAGTATGAACACATTTGTATGAGTAACAAGTCAACATAAAGCGCGGCAGATACTTACCCTGCAACAAACCGTGAAGTCATCATGATGAAGGCATTCACTGGAGAACCTGACAAAGGAGGACGGTTATAAGTGTTGCCAGAGACCAGCCCGGACCAATCAGACCTTAACGAGTAAATGACGGACAGCTGCTGGTGAAGGACTCAGCAGGTGGATCAAACCTCAGCAATCAGTCTGACAGGAGCCAATGAGGACAGCTCAAGAAGAAAATGGGTTGATATTATACTGCACCTTTTTCACCAAAATGTTATTCATTTACATTTTATTCAGCTTAGGAGTTGGGCAAAATGTACATGACTTAAAAAAATAGTGTATAAATTGACAAACAATAAAAAGTCTGATAAATCTCTGATAAGTCTCAACCAAATTTCACCAGAAAACATGGACTGAGTCAACCAAACACTGGACAAAAAACGCAGGGGTAGTTTGGAGTTCAGCCTTTACATACTGTATCTCTTTAATTTGTATTTGAATATCATGCTAAACAACATAAACGTCCTTGTTTAAAAAAAATATCTTATCAGATTACAATTACATTTCTATAAAACAAATGTTATAGCCAGTTGCCTGCAGGTGTATAATATTTTTCAGAAATTGAAAAATATCTTGGCAAATAAAGGGAATAATTCCAACACACTATATTTTCATATTGGAAATATATTTCATAACATTTTAACTTGACAACCTCTTCAGTTGTTGCACTTTAAAAAAAAAAGTTGACCTGAAACAAATTGTATCTCTGTATAATTTGATGAATATCATTACATTTGGCATATTCAAATAAAAAAACTGAATCCATGACATAACATTTTTCTACTGACAAACACCTGAGACATTTTATCTTTGATACCATCAAAGCAAAGATGGAGAAATGTTGGCACAGTAATAAGTATCTAACAGCTAAATTGAGAATTAAGCATCCAGCAGATGGCAGAGCAGTGTTGCTTATCATGGGTGACATCATTTGAAGTGCAAATCTCATTTTAGAAACATGAGGCACTGATGGCTCGATACGAGGCGAGACTTCGACAGTGCAGGAACACAGAGAGAGGATGGATGCAGGAGAGGAAATGTTTGTATGTACAACATTGAAAGGATGCATTTAATGTGCCACCTAATCCACAGCATGGTGAATAGAGATCTCAAAGAAACTAACCACCCGATACATCAACAGAAGTCGCAGGTTTGACTGCCTTTGATCATGCAGAAGTTACTCTCAAGCCATCTGGGTTTATAGATGTATCTTCACAGTCTACTATATATGTTCTACTTTGTAATGCCATTCTAGTATTGTTTATTTCTTATGTGCAATGCATTGTTTTTTGTAATGCTGCTGCAATGCAAACATTTCCCCAATTTGGTTTAAAGTACCTCTTATCTTGGGCCAGCAACAAAAAAAAAGATGTTTAAAAAAAAACAAAAAACTTTTGTAGTACTTAGCCCACTGATACATTTTTTTTATAAATAGTGTACCATCTACCATCTTTTGCCAATGGAAATCGTAAATAAGAGTAGCCGTACAATAACAATACAATCCCAAATTATATTAAAGTGATTTCACAGGAGGTTTTAAACCATCTTAAAAATTGGGTTTCTCCTTCTGCAAGAGAGTTCCCAAGTCAAGAGTATCAACCTTGAAGCCAGAGTAATTAACAAAATATTTATTTAGCAGATATCTTTGTTCATGCTGTAGGCATCCACGTCACTAGTATCCACCCTGAAAGACAGGAAAAGACCACATTTAGTACAAGTTAGAAATATGCAGTTATTAATATGCCAATACATTTTGTGAACATACATAACCAAAGTTGTAGCCAGGGGCCTGGTTGCGGATTGGCTGCCTGAAGCCTCTAGGGGAAGCAGTCTTTGCACCATCCCGTCCAGAACCAGCCATCACGGGTATCCTGGGTGTGTAAAAGTTCTGGACGGGTGCAGCAGCAGCCTGGCTCCCCTGTACGGGTGCAGGGTTATTGGGAAAATAGTCTCTCACATAGCCAACATCTTGAAAGCTGTCTCTTCCTTGCTCGTAGCTGTCGCTGGAAAAACTGAATGTGCCTGGGGGGTACTTTCCGTTCAGGAAGAAGAAGTCGTAGAACCGATAAGGGACCACAACTCCGCCCGTGTTGGCTTCTGGTCGAGGTTCGCTGGTTAAGCTTGGTCTAGCATATCCTCGTCCCGCAGACTCTGACCTAGGAGGTGGAGCTTGATAAGGTCCTGGAGGAAAAGGTCGTCGAGAAGGCACTAGGTCCTCCGTCTCCTGCTCAGAGTTACCCTGCTCTAAGATTTGGGAATAAGTGGACAACTCCCCTGCCTGGTAAAATGATCCAGGAGGACTCATGTTTTCTGGTTGACTGGAGACAACGGCACGGGTGCCTGTCGACACTTCCTCACCTCCGGAGAACATCCTGGGAGGTTCAACAGCCCATTTGACTTCTGAAACAGAAATGTAGAGAAGTTTGAAACTCACATGAATTTGTAGTCAAGAAAAGAGTGAGGCCAAGATTTGCCAGGGATGATTCTTATTTGTGTTATTGCGCAATTGCAAACTGATTTGGCAGTTAAAGAACATAACATTAGGCATGAGATCATTACCTGGAGGGGCAGGTTGATAAGCAGCTTCTGGTTGAGCAGAGTTGTCAGGGTTTTGCCTTGCTGAAGTTCCCCTGTAACCTGAATTAACCGGTCCAAAAGAACCAGGACCAACAGCAGGTTCTGGTTGTCTTTGAGCAGTTAGCTTAGGGACACTGGGCTCCTGCTGTGGTACAGCCTTATAAAGTGATTGGTAGGTCCCATTGTAATACTCAACAGCCTCAGGTGAAAACTGAGCAGAGGGTCCTTGCTGGTACAAGCCAACATTAGGAGCTGTGTTGGGTTTACTTCCACCAGGATAAGAGCCTAGGTACAAGAGAAACACAAGTTTACTAGGAAGCTAATTCAACTGAAAAAACAAACATTTTACCAAAGTCGAAGACACATCACCTTGCTGAACAGGAAGGCAGCACATGCTCACAATCAGCATCGCAAAGAGGGAAGCCCTGAAATAATTTGGAATAGTATGAACACATTTGTATGAGTAACAAGTCAACATAAAGCGCGGCAGATACTTACCCTGCAACAAACCGTGAAGTCATCATGATGAAGGCATTCACTGGAGAACCTGACAAAGGAGGACGGTTATAAGTGTTGCCAGAGACCAGCCCGGACCAATCAGACCTTAACGAGTAAATGACGGACAGCTGCTGGTGAAGGACTCAGCAGGTGGATCAAACCTCAGCAATCAGTCTGACAGGAGCCAATGAGGACAGCTCAAGAAGAAAATGGGTTGATATTATACTGCACCTTTTTCACCAAAATGTTATTCATTTACATTTTATTCAGCTTAGGAGTTGGGCAAAATGTACATGACTTAAAAAAATAGTGTATAAATTGACAAACAATAAAAAGTCTGATAAATCTCTGATAAGTCTCAACCAAATTTCACCAGAAAACATGGACTGAGTCAACCAAACACTGGACAAAAAACGCAGGGGTAGTTTGGAGTTCAGCCTTTACATACTGTATCTCTTTAATTTGTATTTGAATATCATGCTAAACAACATAAACGTCCTTGTTTAAAAAAAATATCTTATCAGATTACAATTACATTTCTATAAAACAAATGTTATAGCCAGTTGCCTGCAGGTGTATAATATTTTTCAGAAATTGAAAAATATCTTGGCAAATAAAGGGAATAATTCCAACACACTATATTTTCATATTGGAAATATATTTCATAACATTTTAACTTGACAACCTCTTCAGTTGTTGCACTTTAAAAAAAAAAGTTGACCTGAAACAAATTGTATCTCTGTATAATTTGATGAATATCATTACATTTGGCATATTCAAATAAAAAAACTGAATCCATGACATAACATTTTTCTACTGACAAACACCTGAGACATTTTATCTTTGATACCATCAAAGCAAAGATGGAGAAATGTTGGCACAGTAATAAGTATCTAACAGCTAAATTGAGAATTAAGCATCCAGCAGATGGCAGAGCAGTGTTGCTTATCATGGGTGACATCATTTGAAGTGCAAATCTCATTTTAGAAACATGAGGCACTGATGGCTCGATACGAGGCGAGACTTCGACAGTGCAGGAACACAGAGAGAGGATGGATGCAGGAGAGGAAATGTTTGTATGTACAACAACATTGAAAGGATGCATTTAATGTGCCACCTAATCCACAGCATGGTGAATAGAGATCTCAAAGAAACTAACCACCCGATACATCAACAGAAGTCGCAGGTTTGACTGCCTTTGATCATGCAGAAGTTACTCTCAAGCCATCTGGGTTTATAGATGTATCTTCACAGTCTACTATATATGTTCTACTTTGTAATGCCATTCTAGTATTGTTTATTTCTTATGTGCAATGCATTGTTTTTTGTAATGCTGCTGCAATGCAAACATTTCCCCAATTTGGTTTAAAGTACCTCTTATCTTGGGCCAGCAACAAAAAAAAAGATGTTTAAAAAAAAAAAAAAAACTTTTGTAGTACTTAGCCCACTGATACATTTTTTTTATAAATAGTGTACCATCTACCATCTTTTGCCAATGGAAATCGTAAATAAGAGTAGCCGTACAATAACAATACAATCCCAAATTATATTAAAGTGATTTCACAGGAGGTTTTAAACCATCTTAAAAATTGGGTTTCTCCTTCTGCAAGAGAGTTCCCAAGTCAAGAGTATCAACCTTGAAGCCAGAGTAATTAACAAAATATTTATTTAGCAGATATCTTTGTTCATGCTGTAGGCATCCACGTCACTAGTATCCACCCTGAAAGACAGGAAAAGACCACGTTTAGTACAAGTTAGAAATATGCAGTTATTAATATGCCAATACATTTTGTGAACATACATAACCAAAGTTGTAGCCAGGGGCCTGGTTGCGGATTGGCTGCCTGAAGCCTCTAGGGGAAGCAGTCTTTGCACCATCCCGTCCAGAACCAGCCATCACGGGTATCCTGGGTGTGTAAAAGTTCTGGACGGGTGCAGCAGCAGCCTGGCTCCCCTGTACGGGTGCAGGGTTATTGGGAAAATAGTCTCTCACATAGCCAACATCTTGAAAGCTGTCTCTTCCTTGCTCGTAGCTGTCGCTGGAAAAACTGAATGTGCCTGGGGGGTACTTTCCGTTCAGGAAGAAGAAGTCGTAGAACCGATAAGGGACCACAACTCCGCCCGTGTTGGCTTCTGGTCGAGGTTCGCTGGTTAAGCTTGGTCTAGCATATCCTCGTCCCGCAGACTCTGACCTAGGAGGTGGAGCTTGATAAGGTCCTGGAGGAAAAGGTCGTCGAGAAGGCACTAGGTCCTCCGTCTCCTGCTCAGAGTTACCCTGCTCTAAGATTTGGGAATAAGTGGACAACTCCCCTGCCTGGTAAAATGATCCAGGAGGACTCATGTTTTCTGGTTGACTGGAGACAACGGCACGGGTGCCTGTCGACACTTCCTCACCTCCGGAGAACATCCTGGGAGGTTCAACAGCCCATTTGACTTCTGAAACAGAAATGTAGAGAAGTTTGAAACTCACATGAATTTGTAGTCAAGAAAAGAGTGAGGCCAAGATTTGCCAGGGATGATTCTTATTTGTGTTATTGCGCAATTGCAAACTGATTTGGCAGTTAAAGAACATAACATTAGGCATGAGATCATTACCTGGAGGGGCAGGTTGATAAGCAGCTTCTGGTTGAGCAGAGTTGTCAGGGTTTTGCCTTGCTGAAGTTCCCCTGTAACCTGAATTAACCGGTCCAAAAGAACCAGGACCAACAGCAGGTTCTGGTTGTCTTTGAGCAGTTAGCTTAGGGACACTGGGCTCCTGCTGTGGTACAGCCTTATAAAGTGATTGGTAGGTCCCATTGTAATACTCAACAGCCTCAGGTGAAAACTGAGCAGAGGGTCCTTGCTGGTACAAGCCAACATTAGGAGCTGTGTTGGGTTTACTTCCACCAGGATAAGAGCCTAGGTACAAGAGAAACACAAGTTTACTAGGAAGCTAATTCAACTGAAAAAACAAACATTTTACCAAAGTCGAAGACACATCACCTTGCTGAACAGGAAGGCAGCACATGCTCACAATCAGCATCGCAAAGAGGGAAGCCCTGAAATAATTTGGAATAGTATGAACACATTTGTATGAGTAACAAGTCAACATAAAGCGCGGCAGATACTTACCCTGCAACAAACCGTGAAGTCATCATGATGAAGGCATTCACTGGAGAACCTGACAAAGGAGGACGGTTATAAGTGTTGCCAGAGACCAGCCCGGACCAATCAGACCTTAACGAGTAAATGACGGACAGCTGCTGGTGAAGGACTCAGCAGGTGGATCAAACCTCAGCAATCAGTCTGACAGGAGCCAATGAGGACAGCTCAAGAAGAAAATGGGTTGATATTATACTGCACCTTTTTCACCAAAATGTTATTCATTTACATTTTATTCAGCTTAAGGAGTTGGGCAAAATGTACATGACTTAAAAAAATAGTGTATAAATTGACAAACAATAAAAAGTCTGATAAATCTCTGATAAGTCTCAACCAAATTTCACCAGAAAACATGGACTGAGTCAACCAAACACTGGACAAAAAACGCAGGGGTAGTTTGGAGTTCAGCCTTTACATACTGTATCTCTTTAATTTGTATTTGAATATCATGCTAAACAACATAAACGTCCTTGTTTAAAAAAAATATCTTATCAGATTACAATTACATTTCTATAAAACAAATGTTATAGCCAGTTGCCTGCAGGTGTATAATATTTTTCAGAAATTGAAAAATATCTTGGCAAATAAAGGGAATAATTCCAACACACTATATTTTCATATTGGAAATATATTTCATAACATTTTAACTTGACAACCTCTTCAGTTGTTGCACTTTAAAAAAAAAAGTTGACCTGAAACAAATTGTATCTCTGTATAATTTGATGAATATCATTACATTTGGCATATTCAAATAAAAAAACTGAATCCATGACATAACATTTTTCTACTGACAAACACCTGAGACATTTTATCTTTGATACCATCAAAGCAAAGATGGAGAAATGTTGGCACAGTAATAAGTATCTAACAGCTAAATTGAGAATTAAGCATCCAGCAGATGGCAGAGCAGTGTTGCTTATCATGGGTGACTATCATTTGAAGTGCAAATCTCATTTTAGAAACATGAGGCACTGATGGCTCGATACGAGGCGAGACTTCGACAGTGCAGGAACACAGAGAGAGGATGGATGCAGGAGAGGAAATGTTTGTATGTACAACAACATTGAAAGGATGCATTTAATGTGCCACCTAATCCACAGCATGGTGAATAGAGATCTCAAAGAAACTAACCACCCGATACATCAACAGAAGTCGCAGGTTTGACTGCCTTTGATCATGCAGAAGTTACTCTCAAGCCATCTGGGTTTATAGATGTATCTTCACAGTCTACTATATATGTTCTACTTTGTAATGCCATTCTAGTATTGTTTATTTCTTATGTGCAATGCATTGTTTTTTGTAATGCTGCTGCAATGCAAACATTTCCCCAATTTGGTTTAAAGTACCTCTTATCTTGGGCCAGCAACAAAAAAAAAGATGTTTAAAAAAAAACAAAAAACTTTTGTAGTACTTAGCCCACTGATACATTTATTTTATAAATAGTGTACCATCTACCATCTTTTGCCAATGGAAATCGTAAATAAGAGTAGCCGTGCAATAACAATACAATCCCAAATTATATTAAAGTGATTTCACAGGAGGTTTTAAACCATCTTAAAAATTGGGTTTCTCCTTCTGCAAGAGAGTTCCCAAGTCAAGAGTATCAACCTTGAAGCCAGAGTAATTAACAAAATATTTATTTAGCAGATATCTTTGTTCATGCTGTAGGCATCCACGTCACTAGTATCCACCCTGAAAGACAGGAAAAGACCACGTTTAGTACAAGTTAGAAATATGCAGTTATTAATATGCCAATACATTTTGTGAACATACATAACCAAAGTTGTAGCCAGGGGCCTGGTTGCGGATTGGCTGCCTGAAGCCTCTAGGGGAAGCAGTCTTTGCACCATCCCGTCCAGAACCAGCCATCACGGGTATCCTGGGTGTGTAAAAGTTCTGGACGGGTGCAGCAGCAGCGGCGGCCTGGCGCCCCTGTACGGGTGCAGGGTTATTGGGAAAATAGTCTCTCACATAGCCAACATCTTGAAAGCTGTCTCTTCCTTGCTCGTAGCTGTCGCTGGAAAAACTGAATGTGCCTGGGGGGTACTTTCCGTTCAGGAAGAAGAAGTCGTAGAACCGATAAGGGACCACAACTCCGCCCGTGTTGGCTTCTGGTCGAGGTTCGCTGGTTAAGCTTGGTCTAGCATATCCTCGTCCCGCAGACTCTGACCTAGGAGGTGGAGCTTGATAAGGTCCTGGAGGAAAAGGTCGTCGAGAAGGCACTAGGTCCTCCGTCTCCTGCTCAGAGTTACCCTGCTCTAAGATTTGGGAATAAGTGGACAACTCCCCTGCCTGGTAAAATGATCCAGGAGGACTCATGTTTTCTGGTTGACTGGAGACAACGGCACGGGTGCCTGTCGACACTTCCTCACCTCCGGAGAACATCCTGGGAGGTTCAACAGCCCATTTGACTTCTGAAACAGAAATGTAGAGAAGTTTGAAACTCACATGAATTTGTAGTCAAGAAAAGAGTGAGGCCAAGATTTGCCAGGGATGATTCTTATTTGTATTATTGCGCAATTGCAAACTGATTTGGCAGTTAAAGAACATAACATTAGGCATGAGATCATTACCTGGAGGGGCAGGTTGATAAGCAGCTTCTGGTTGAGCAGAGTTGTCAGGGTTTTGCCTTGCTGAAGTTCCCCTGTAACCTGAATTAACCGGTCCAAAAGAACCAGGACCAACAGCAGGTTCTGGTTGTCTTTGAGCAGTTAGCTTAGGGACACTGGGCTCCTGCTGTGGTACAGCCTTATAAAGTGATTGGTAGGTCCCATTGTAATACTCAACAGCCTCAGGTGAAAACTGAGCAGAGGGCCATTGCTGGTACAAGCCAACATTAGGAGCTGTGTTGGGTTTACTTCCACCAGGATAAGAGCCTAGGTACAAGAGAAACACAAGTTTACTAGGAAGCTAATTCAACTGAAAAAACAAACATTTTACCAAAGTCGAAAGACACATCACCTTGCTGAACAGGAAGGCAGCACATGCTCACAATCAGCATCGCAAAGAGGGAAGCCCTGAAATAATTTGGAATAGTATGAACACATTTGTATGAGTAACAAGTCAACATAAAGCACGGCAGATACTTACCCTGCAACAAACCGTGAAGTCATCATGATGAAGGCATTCACTGGAGAACCTGGCAAAGGAGGACGGTTATAAGTGTTGCCAGAGACCAGCCCGGACCAATCAGACCTTAACGAGTAAATGACGGACAGCTGCTGGTGAAGGACTCAGCAGGTGGATCAAACCTCAGCAATCAGTCTGACAGGAGCCAATGAGGACAGCTCAAGAAGAAAATGGGTTGATATTATACTGCACCTTTTTCACCAAAATGTTATTCATTTACATTTTATTCAGCTTAGGAGTTGGGCAAAATGTACATGACTTAAAAAAATAGTGTATAAATTGACAAACAATAAAAAGTCTGATAAATCTCTGATAAGTCTCAATCAAATTTCACCAGAAAACATGGACTCCAAACATCCACCAAACACTGGGCAAAACACGCAGGGGTAGTTTGGAGTTCAGCCTTGTATCTCTTTAATTTTAATGTCATGCTAAACAACATACAACATTTCCTTGTTGTTTTTAAAAATTACAAATGATATTACAATTACATTTATATAGGGAATAATTCCATTTAACACACTATATTTTCATATTGAAAATATATTTCATAACATTTCAACAATTTGACAACCTCCTCAGTTGTTGCACTTAAAAAAACGGTGGACCTGAAACATAAATATATCTCTGTATAATTTGACGAATATCATTACATTTGGCATATTCAAATAAAAAATGGAATCCATCATGACATCAAATTTTGTTCTACTTATAGACATGCTCAAAACACAAGATGTATATGTTTGATAAAATGAAAACATAGAAGGAGATTGAGTATGTTTGGTACAGTAATATCAGTATCTAACAGCTACACTGATAATTAAGCGTCCAGCAGATGGCAGAGCTTTGTTGTTTATCATTGCTGACATAATTTGAAGTGCAAATCCCATTTCACAAACATTATGAGGAGGCACTGATGGCTCGTTGGGAGGCGAGACTTCGACAGTGCAGGAACACAGAGAGAGGATGGATGAAGGCGAGCAAGATGAGCAGCGACACACCAATGTTCACCTGCAGACACATGGAGGAAGAGAGGAGGCAGTGGAATAAAATACAGGTGGTAATTCTGGAGGAAAATTACCAGATTAAGTAGGTGAGATGCTTTGCACTTACATATAAAGGGTCTCCATGAAGAGGTCCGTTCACCAGTGCAAAGCAGGCATACTGCAGCAGGGAAAACACTGAAGATAGAGCCAGGACCAGACCATACAGCTTCGCAAAGTGGCACAACGGGAAACTACACACACCAATCAAGTATTTAAAATTATCTTAGATGAAGGTAACACTTACAAAATTGTCCACTTAAAACCCATATAATGAACTAGCCTATGATTAGATAAGAACACATGATGTAGAAAACGTCTACTTCAGGTCAATCCTCATTTTGGTGAGATAGAACAAACTCAATGAGCTTCAGTTCTCCTTAATTGGATATATGAGTTTATTAAAACACAAATACGGCCAGAGAAACTCATATACATCAACATCACGCTTTACAGCATATCCCTCATCATACATTATGATCACACCACCAGGGAGGTGGCAACGGAACATTGTGTAACCCTTTTTCAAGACTCTTTAGCATGAGAGTCGGGACACCTATTGTTTTCAAGCACATACGCCAGCAGTTAGTTGTGGATGGCTAACAGCAGAAGTTGTAGACGAATACATCAACAAACATCCTTTACATATATTATCCAGTGTGATTGATGGGTACAAAATGGTCAGGTTATTTATGAAAGTTGCTGAATGGTGTATGTATGCTGTACGCCTCAAGAACATGCTGTGTCGGAATTAATTTGTATGTGGTCGTGTGTGTATTTGATACTCACGCCACGTTGATGAAAGCTGCGTTGCCGCCAAAGAGGAAAGAGCGGTTGATTACCTCCAGGACAAATGTGAAGTACTGAAGCGGCAGGGAGGGGAGGCAGGCACAGACTGAGAACAACACGCACTGCAGCGCCGTCAGGAAGAGAGAAAGTACTGAGGCCCTCAGGTCTGCTTCCTTTTCACTCTCTCCTACAGACACACACAATACAACACACACCTGTTCCTTTAAAGAGAAACTCTGCTGACATCTCCATACATACAGACCAGAGCACTCAGCAGCAACTAATCCCTTTAATGACTGTAGGCACGCTGAACATGATCATATTTTATTCACTCTATGGTAAGAGCCCACTGACTTTGCTGTCTTGTGCCCTGAGATGGGTCTCACTTTAGGATACCATGTATTTTTCATGTTGGGTTTATTACAAGCTCTTTTTAGAATGTTGTTACCTTCAGTGCTAGGTTTGCCCTTGTTTCTGTCGAAGATGAGGCCATTCCATGGAGCACACAACACAGCACACAGCTGTGTTATAGCAAAGGCATTGGTGTACCAGCTCACTGTGAGACACACAAGCAAGGACAAGATAGTTAGAAACAAAAATCTCCTTCAGAGTCTAACATCCCTCGTACTACAGGAATCATGAACCAGAACAAGTTGATCAGGGATGCCACCTTGTAGCCCGGTTCCTGCAAGATGTGGGCAGTCAGTCTCTTGTTGCTGAGCCAGTCAGAGTCATAATTCATCCGTTTTAATTCACTACTAACCAGACATCAGCCAGGAGAATGCTGGGTAGTTAAACAGCCCAAGGTCCATGCCTATACTCTCTTATACTCTCTTATACTCTGGCTCTTACGGTGGTGCTTGATCCAGCTGGTCTTGCTGGATGTTTTGAAGGTGTTTGCTGTGATAATCTGCCGAGTTTTAAGAGTTTATTTCTGCCAGAGGCTATGTGCTGTGGTTACCAAGGCGGAAAGACGGTATGACAAGGAAGGTTTGCAGGAAATTTGCTTAGACAATCAGACAAAAGGTAGTGTTTGTGCATGTTTACCAAGTGAAGGATCTCCATTCGTCAGCCGCTGCAGCATGGGGTTGAGGGTGCCGATGTAGAGGTAATGTCTGAGCAGCATCACTGACAGCCACAGCAGGTGCCACCAGAAGAGCCTGGACTTCAAACACTCACGTAAACTCTTCTCTGAGGGAGACAAGAGGAAACCGTAGAGATGGATGAAGATGAGGAAAGAACAACAATAAAGACAGATAGGATATTTGATTAGTTTATCCTGTTTTAAATATCTGTGCGATTTGAAGTGAACAGACCTTGATCCGGGACGTCCTTGACCTCCTCTGTCATCGGTTGATTGTTACCCTCCGCTGTTATCTGCTCCAAGCTCAGAGTCTTTGATTTACCACAGGTTATCCTGACAAAGATCAAAGGTGACAAGGGCCCTTTTTACACCTGGGATTAGCATGCGTCTGGGGTGATTTGATCACAAGTGAAAGCTCAATGTTTTGCAGCCTTTTCATATGAATAATACATTCATCTCTGTAAAAGGAGCGCCCAAAATAATAGATATACAAAATAATATATTCTGAATACTATCAATTCACATTGCTCTGATGTCTATACAGTAAACAAGTACTTCTAACATAGAGCACAGATCAAAAAGTATTCTGTTGATATGTGTGTTGATGTGTGTGATTTTTTTAATCTGTACCCGCATGTGTAGCCATCAGGCAGTGGGTGGGGAATTTTGCCTCGGGGCAGCAGGAAGAAAGTCCTGAGCAGGTGAAGGACGCTGCAGGCGGAGAGGAAGAGGAAGGAGGGGAGGAAAAAGATGCCAGCCTCATGCAACAGCTGCAAAACAGAACAACAAGGTCATTGTTACAACATGATAGTGTTTGAATATATTGCAAATATACGAAAATAGCGAGCGAGTGTTTCTTACCTTGATGACAAGGAAGAGCGCGGCTGAAGAGCCAATGGACCCGTTATAGAGAGTGATGACAGTGGAGCGATGTGACCCGAACAAGATTCCTAACTTCATGAGAGGAATACAAACGTTTTTTTTTCTAAATCTGACTTGTCATTTTTACATCAAAATCGTTAAGCCATTCAATGATTAGAATTTCTTGTTTGAATATGATGATGTGGTTTTATACTAGGCCTACATCATTTGAATTAAACATTACCCTAGGACTCGGTTTCTAAGAAAAGTGTGAGGGAAAACTCTTGTTTTGGTTGGGTTAATTCCTGTTAAGTGAAGCATTGGGGACAGATGTTTAAAGGTTTCAAAGCTTGTGAAAAATCTGATCTTGAACATCTATCCTCTTATGCTTCCAAAAAGCTCTGATGACTGTGTTTCTCAGTCTAAGTTCTAAGGCGTTATATGACTTAGAGCAGGGGTAGCCAACACGGTGCCCGCGGGCACTTAGTCGGCCGCAGGGGGAACGTGAGTCGCCCGCCGGGCATGTTCTAAAAATAGCTCGCCAAGCATAGGCGGCGCGTGAGTCTCAGGTTTGGGAAGGCTAAATAACTTTTTTTTCCTGACGCTGCCCGCCTCCGGCGTCTATAGAAAAGAGATCAACTCAGTGAAAGCACCGCCTGCTGACCAATCAGAGCTCAGTGTACGGAGTTTAAATCTATCAAGTCATATTACAGGATAACGGAAATACAGTTTAAACTACCGTATGCAGAGAAGACGCCGACGTGTCGTACTTATCATTCATATCACATCATCAATCAGATCATCGATCATATAATATCATAATATAGCCTATCATATATTTCCTTATCTGAGTCAGCTTCTCGAGCTGTATCTGGCCGTGCAACACTTACATTGTCACATATAGGCCTACTGTATGCAGACGTATTATTTTAAGCAATACATTAAGTTGACGGAAACACCCAACTCAAATGTAATTAAAGTCAGATCCACTCGTGTCTTAGATGGGGCAGTATCAGGGGCGTCGCCTGGACCTGAAAACATTCAGGGCTTAGCTCACAGTGGCGCTACAGTGGAATTTTCTACTGCAACACTCCCCACACGCACACACACAGTACACCCGCGACTGTTACAATGAAGGCTCGATAATCAGCTCACGGCATATAGGCAGCGGTAAAGTGCTTTTATGAGTGGGGGGCGGACCTCACCTCCTCTAGGGGGGTCCGGGGGGATGCTCCCCCGGGATTTTTTTTAAAATATTGAAGTTAAAAGCTACAATCTGGTGCACTTTGAGAGCAACATGGAAAGATCTATGGATACATCTCTCAACACATTACATTTCATTTTAGCTGATGCTTTTATCCAAAGCGACTTACAATTACCAATTAAAACTGCGGTCGCACATGTGCGCGCAGTGATGAGCGGGCCCTCGCGTCCGTGCGGCTGTCGGGGAGGGGTCCTGCGTCCCAGGGTCCTTCTCACTTCGGTTAAATGGATTCCTTGCGTCCCTCACTTGCGTTGTTTCCCTGCGTTTAGTCCCTCCCACCAGGGAAGCATGGAGGGACGCAAGGAAACCACGAGAAGCAGGGAAATTAGTTTTAAGAGCAATGGGACGTCCTTTCCTCCGGAGTGTCACGTGAAGCGACGTCCGTTTGTGATGACGCCGCACAAACACCCCCGCCTCTGTTAGTACACATTTACTGACACAAACATTTGTATCATCTGTTATAGACCCAAATAAATAAAATAAAAGAAGAACTAATTCTCAAAAAAGATAAACGCCATTCTTAAAATGTATAAACGAACAATAGTTTGATTAGAGTGCACAATAGAAATAAAAATAATTTAGAGAAGAAAAAGAGATATGTTATCTATCAAAACCCAGTTAGATTAACATTCATTGGATTGCACACTTTGTTTGTTTGTGTGGATATGTAGCAAATTCACATTTTAAATAGCACTTAATGACTGATTGAATGGAAATGACAATAAATGAAAATGTAAAACGAAAAAAGCGATCATGAAAATGTTTCCAAAAAATGAATAAAATGATTTTTGACCACTTTGTTGTTCAGATATATCACATATTTGTAACTAAATGATACATGAATTGAAACAAAACACGGTATAAACTGAGGAGTGACTCCCGTGAGGTTCATGTATTTTCTTCACTCCGCTGGGAAACTGCTCTCATGTCAAGAAGCATCAGATCAGTGCATGCACTGCATCGTCCAATCAGTGAGCGATACACAGTAAGGGGGCGGGCCCGAGTGTCTGAGGATTTCATCGAAGGATGGGCCGTTTCTCAATCTCGAGGATATTGGCTTCCAAGCCAATATTTCAAGGATGCTACGTCATCGAGTGCCGCCGAAGGACTGTTCCAATCTCCAGCATACTTGGAATTCCACCGAAGCCGCGTCCTTGGTTTGGGGGAAATTTCGAGGCTGCACATGAGTAGACGTCGCGTCCTTAAGATCCCCACAATGCTTTGCGCACGGACCAATTTCAAAAACCCTTGCGGAGAATGGCTGAACCGACCATACTTGCCAACCTTGAGACCTCAGAAATCGGGAGCATTTCAAAATGCAAAATGGGAGTGAGCAGAGAGTAGAGTAGTTGTCGATTCTGTTTTCTGTGACTATCTTCCTCACCCTCTCAGACTCAGAGACGGGTTACCATGGAAACCAAACAATGGTGTAGCTGTATTAAAGTCCGAGTGGAAACAGTCCTGAGTAAATCTGATTTTGTCAGAAATCGGGAGAAATGCGGGAGAAATATGACCCGGGGAGGAAACCGGAAGAGGGCAATGAAATCGGGAGTGTCCCGCGAAAATCGGGAGAGTTGGCAAGTATGGAACCGACGCATCACACATTTAAATGTAAGTAGTGGCGTAGAACATGTGTTGGTAAATATGTTACTTTGTTACATTTGTTTGTTATCACCAAAAATATGTTCCGTGAAAGTAAAGCAAGTTCATAATTAGATCGTGAGGTATTTATTTTTGGTACAGTTTATGTTGAAACCGTTAGAGAGAGTGGCACACTTGTTAGCCTGTTCCATTCTTCTTCGTTTTCCGAAGCCGTGGCTTGGAAGAATACTTGCTTAGTTTCTGAAGGAAGTGACTTGGAAGTACGCGACTACCAAGCCAGCATCCTCGCGATTGAGAAACGGCCATGGTCTGGTGGTTCCTCGATTATAGCTCCTCCATTATCGCTCCTCCGGCAAAAATAAGGCCATTGGGACGCTACTCAAGATGGCGCAGACAAATCAACTTCCGGTGAGACCGAGACCTAGGAGCGAGGAAATTAAAACTAAGAGAAGTGAGAAAGGGCCCCTGGCTTGATTCACGGAGTTGATAACCAGCGTCGTAGGACCGCTTAGCAAGATCTGGTTTGTTTGGGTTAGTTAAGATAACTCAAACATATCCAGGATCTGTTGAGCTTCGTAGTACAGTTTACTGGTGGCTGCATAGCAGCGCTAATGTCAAAGACACAAACATTATACATTATATTCTTATTTTACCAGGATGCAGTGACACAAATATTTGGAAAGGCTAACGGCCCGTCTACACTACAGGCATCGAAAAAGCTTGAAGCTGGGCGTGTCTGAAGCTTGGCGATTTTTTGCGAGCAACACGACCAACAACCAATCACATGAATCTCCCGCCCCCGACATACAAAGCAATAGCAATGTTAAAACGAAGTAAACTGGATATAAAATCCCCAAACAGGCGAAAACCTACCAGTTTCACCCACTGTCTCTGCCACCTCCCTCCATGCCTGGTTCCTCCGGTTTGTATCCCGGTAAATAGTTCTGGTCGAAAAGAACCGGGTGATTTGCTACCGTAATTTCTCGTTTGGAATATGAGGAAATGAACTGCGGTCTGGCTCTCCCAGCTTGCACGCGGTTTGATTGGCTAGCGCTTGTACTGGCGGGAATTGCAAAAACGGGATTTGATTGGCTGACGCCAGCTTCGAGCAAGCATCGAGCCTCAAAAGTTGAACATTGTTCAACTTTCGCGATGCGATGCTTGCAACGCCTTGCCATGCTACCCACAATGCAGTTCGGCGAAGTTTGAAAATATCCTACGTCACCCCATTCAAATGAATGGGCGAAGCGTTGAAAGCATTTTTTGACGCCTGTAGTGTAGACGGGCCGTTAGCCTTCCCTAGCCTACAGTACCCGCCGCCCCTGTCGCCAAGCAAATCCAAAATGTAAAAAATACACAAAACAAAAAAGGAAATGTAATTAAAAGAATCTACCCTATGCATACTTGGAATTCCACCGAGGCCGCGTCCTTGGTTTGGGGGAAATTTCGAGGCTGCACATGGGTAGACTTCGCGTCCTTAAAATCCACACAATACTTTGCGCACGGACCAATTTCAAAAACCCTTGCGGAGAATTGCTGAACCGACGCAGCACACATTTAAATCTAAGTATGTAGTGGCGTAGAACATGTGTTGATAAATATGTTACTTTGTTACATTTGTTATCACCAAAAATGTGTTCCGTGAAAGTAAAGCAAGTTCATAATTAGATAGACATCGTGAGATATTTATTTTCGGTACACTTGTTAGCCTGTTCCATTCTTCTTCGTTTTCCGAAGCCGTGGCTTGGAAGTACGCGACTAGCAAGCCAGCATCCTCGCGATTGAGAAACACCCAGAGAGAGAGAGCGAGAGAGCTAGGAGGGAGGGAGGGAGAGAGAGAGGGAGAGAGAGAGAGAGGGAGAGAGAGAGAGAGCAATAGAGAGAGCTAGGGAGAGCACACCTTTATCTATTTAATATAGATAAAGTAAGAAATCATTCCAATGTGTACTAGGACAGTAAAAAAAAAAAAAAAAAAAGTTTAAAAGGGGAGTGATTAGTAAAATATGCATAAATGCAAAGATAGAATGCTAACTAGGAAACATAAGGTAAGAATAAACCAGTTTAAATGATTTGTTATTGGTTGTGATCATATTCTAAAGATGTTTGGATCATTGAAAAGTATACAGCGTGTTGAGAGCTGTATCCATAAATTCATGTTGTGCTCAAAGTGCACCAGATTGATGCATTTAACTTCAACATTTAAAAAATAATCTTCCCCCTAGAGGATGTGAAGTCCACCCCCAAATAAAGCAGGTTAAAATAATTAAATTGCATACATGTTCTTTTAGTAAACACTGAAAACGGGTCCCACAGACCCAAACAGCACACAAAGGTTAAAGGTAAGCATATAATAATGTTAAAATGTGCTAAATATATACACTGCAAAAAAAGAGGAGTAAAAGTAGCCCCCGACTTGTTTTATTTTTTGAAAGTAGCCCTCATCCTAAAAAAGGTTGGTGACCCCTGACTTAGAGGTATGGTTTTGATCCTGTGTTTACAGGGGAAAAATCTCAAATGTGTCCAAAATGTTAAGGCAAAAGCAAAATTAGCCACAGTCTGATTCTGAAACATAGGAAGGATTGATCAAGCCTCATCTCAATCTAAGAGTCTGAACATGACCCCCCCCATTCTTGAGAGGTTAAACAATGTCCTGATGGATGGACTTTACATTTTCTTTGATCTGAGAGACAGCTTTAGTACCTGCAAGTTGGTCAGTAGAAGCATGTTGCCACCCGACGCCATGAGGGCGAGAGCTGGGAACATCAGGTTTGATAAAGCTGATGAAAATAAAAGAGCAACAACAGACGTAAGATTACTTACGTAAACCATGAGTGATTACAAAACAACAAGACAGAGAAAAGTTTTTCACCTGCAGTCGAGAAGGCCATCATCAAGGTACCCGTGGTGTAAAGAGTTCTGTTGGAAATATACATTTCAATGTTTTAAAACACATGATATTTTACAAGACCAAAACATTTAAGTTAGCTAGTTTACAGCAGATCTGCAATTATATCTGAAATAATCCTGCTATGACATCGTTAAAATAAGCCAATAATCGTACATTTTATGGATGTTTTCAGTTTTATGACTATTTATTTGTTAATGTACGGGTGTGAGGTTGTGGTGACCTTTCGAGTCAGTGTCCTATCATAAGACACCACTATTAGTCCAGATTGATAGTAAACTGCATCAATTGTGATATCATTAAATGTGTTAAAAAGTGCTTTTTAATCAAATGTTGTCTTTACACACAGCTGTAAAGACACAAACAAACAGAACTGTACTGCAGAGCTTCAAAAGTGCATTTCAAATGCTGCAGTTTGAAGTTAAACTTTAAACTCTTAGAAAGGTTGTGTTGATGATTAATTGCTATTGACTGTGCTACACATTTTATTTTTTTATAGTCAGTCTTTTCTTTTGTCATAGTCAGTTTTAATTTGTTTTGGGTAAGTTTCTATTTTTTTAATAGTCAGTTTTAATTTTTTTTTTTATTCGGTTTTTATTTATTTCGATTTTTATTATATAAATATTATATAAATGGTGATGCAGAGTTAGACGATGTATTACATATTTGCTTGGATTTAAGCATCACACTTTCAGTCAAGTGCAATTAACTAGGAGAGGTTCTCACTTAATTTCTTCCCCACTAAGAACACAAATGAAGAAGGACTTGTTGATGTTCTTTTCTAGTCAATATTCAAAATTACATCCCTCTTAACTTTACGGCTAATGGGCTTTAAAGGTCGCCTATCATGCTATTTTTAGGCAATAGCATAGGTCAAATATATAAAAAACATGTCTATGAATTGTTTTGGTCAAAAACCAAACAGATCACCCATTCTAGCCATGCCTCATATCCCACTATTTCTCTTTCTGTTACAAAAGTGCTGATTCCGGGTATAAACAGGTTTCTCTTGAGAATGAGACCCTGTGTCTCAATGAGATTTTCACCTGTATAAATAAAGGCTAAACAAATAAAAAAGCTTTTAAAAAAAAAACTGAAACAAACAAAAATAAGAGGGGGCGGAGCTTATGCCGGCTCATGCGGAACCTGGCAGATACCGTCTAAAATGCTGCGGTGATGAAACGCAAGGATTATTAGATCAAGGATTATTTCTGAAACAGTATGGAGCTCAAAGGCTTTCTCTCTTGCCGGTTATACCCAAGCCCCCAGGAAGTGCGCCGGACTCAGATGAAAATATTCGTGCTGGCCAAACGGCGGTACTACACTTCCGTTTGGTTGCCAGGCCCGGAAACTCTTTTTCCCATTGACTTACATGGGGAAAGAGTGGTCTGTAACTCGTTGGATAATTTTTTTTAAACTAAATAAACTACCCAGTATGAACACTTGTATAGCCCTTATTAAAAACATTCGTTCCTCAAGTTGTAAAAATTAGCTAATAACGTTATTCTGAGAGTTATTTCCCTCTGCATTATGAACGCGCATCTAACCCACGGGACCGCGCCGCCCGGCACGTTCATGTTACGTGTCCCGACCAATCAGAGCACACTGTGCTCCAGGTGGGGCTGGAGCTATTGGAGCTACAACGAGCGTTAAAGGCAGAGAGTGAAATTCAGTGAATACACGTAGTTTACAGAGATGCTGTATGAGAAACCAATGTGAGTTGCGTTTATCTTTACCCATGGATGCACAATAAGAACGGATCCATATCGTCTTACTGCCATCCCACGGAGCTGTAATAATGGATATATTGCACATGTTTGCTGTAATTCATTATCATACATGGGCTGTATGATTAAATCTTGTACGGTAAATGTTGTATTAAATAAAGTTAATATTACCGACATTATTAACGTCCCTGTAGCTTCGTATTGCACTAAGAAGCTTATTGCACTGTATATAAATATATATATATACAGTGCAATAATAATTTCATGCTAAATGAAGCTCTGTTGGATATCACTAGATCCTGTTACAGCGTAATATAAGTACATAACGATTGATGTGTACATTAGCATCATTACTAGCTAGCCGCTAGCTGCTAACTGCCGCCTCGTTCATTATCAAATCCATGATAACAACAATCCATTACCATGCTGTCATGAACGCACGGTGCTATTACGTGTACGCAAATTGACGTGCTTGATGTGAACGAGCATTTTGGTTAAAGTTGCACATGCTCTATGAGTGCACATACGGGTACTTCTCAGGCATGCTGGGTAATCTGTGACGTTTCACTCTCTCAAAAGTTGGGTCATTTTATCATCATGCGCTAATGAGCAGCTCTCATAGGAATGAATGAGGCCCCGCCTCCCACGCTGTATCCAGTTCTTATTATACATCCATGGTTATACCACAAGGTGAGTTCCTTTTTATTTCCTGCATCTTCACACACATGGCCCTTACGAAAAAACACTATAGTATTACTATTGAGAATTACTATAGAAATACCACAAAAAACTGCTATAGTATTTCTATGGTGTTTTGGGACACACTATAGAGAATTACTTTAGTAATACTATAGAGTTGGCTATGGTGATCTTATAGTGAAGTTACAGTTATACTATAGTGTTTCCTGTAGTATTTATATGGTTTTTCGGCCACTATAGGAAATTACTATAGCTATACTATTGAGTTTTATGTAGTATCACTATAGTGCTTTATATATTATTTATATGGTTTTTTGGAACACACTACAGAAAATTACTATAGTAATACTATAGAGTTGGCTATGGTGATCTTATAGTGAATCTATAGTTAATTAGCTTTAATAATGATGTATTCATCCCTATAGTAAGTATGGTATCAACAAATACAAGTTAGCAAGCAGAGCAGTTTCAATTTGAAAGGTAGGGACTTTATTAACAAAATAAAATACATTGTTCACAGAATATGAATACGAATAACTTAAATGTAAAAAATGTACAAGAACAATTTCAGGCCCGAAACAGAAATTGTTGGGCAATGAAATTAAGGGAAAAAGTATCCCAACCCCTAAATATAAACACATTTCACATTCATATACTTACAACCCATGCCTCTCCACCAAGTCAGAGATGCAAACTTTGACAAGTTTGAGCCTGGTCTTCTCGGTACATTAGTTTGCAGTTCATCAAATACTTCTGGAATTTTCTTCTTAAGTAGATCAGTTAGGCCATTCAGAAGAACTGGTTCTTGGCTGAACAAAACAATAAGAGCAAGCACAGCACAAAGTAAAGTTCTGGCCTGTGTGATTTTTTGAAACACAATTTAACAAGCATGGTACATGTATACCTGAGTTTGACAGACTTCTCTTAGGACAGGCTGAAGATCCGGTGCTTCAGAAAAGTGCACTTGGAATCTGTCAAAGTTACTGATGTTCTCACTTCTATCAACATCTATAAACTCTTTGAAGTCTGTGTTGTATTTTAAAATCCTATCCAGGACATATCCAAATTCACCTGTTACTTCCAGGAGATGGTTTGTGCTTTGGACACTGTAGATTCTTCTTTTAATTTCCTTTTTGCTAGGACTTTAACAGATTCCTGCAGCTCATTCCCGCTTCCTGTAATTATAAGAAAAATACAAATTCATCCTGATGTTGACTAATCATATTATGCCAGATTAAATTAAATGCCATCATCTATCATCTTCTAGTTAAACCCATTAATACACACCTTATATAAATTATAAGCAGTATGGTAATTTTAAGTTAATTAACTTCACCCATAAAGACAACTTCTAGAGAAGCACAGGGGATATTCTGCTCAGCCTCCAGTGGCGTTTTCTCCTGGAGGCTGGGTATTTCTTTTTATTTGTATTAAAAAACATCTCTCCGCTGTTGTCAGTGAGTATTTTACAAAAACTGAAACAGCGCACCTATAAATTAATGTGTGGTGAAACACAGTATTGCACGCTACACTCACTCTATACTACACCCGCAGTCCGCTGTGTCAGGGACATGTCAAGGAAAGAATGCCGGCTTTCCCTCCCAACGATTTGATTGGTCGGAAGGAAAGCCCGCCGGCCCTTCCCTTCCGACCAATCAAATAATCAGAAGGGAAGGCCTAAAGTGCCGTGCGTGACGCTGCATCTCACATACACAAGTTGCCTTAGCGACAAGAGGCAGATATGAAATCTCCCTTCTACACAATATAATATTTGCAAGTATAGAGTAGTGGCTGATGTTTTAGTCAGAAACAGGTAAACTGTAGTGTACACGTACTACTAATAACTTTAGTGCGAGTAAGTTACGTATTTGCACTGTAAGAGAGACTGTATATCAACGCAGCCAATGTCGGTCTTCTCACTCGCACTTTCCCGCCACATCTGGCCGAACAATGAAACCTAGCCAAAGTAGCTAGATAGCATTAAACATATAGCTGCTAATGCTATCAATATAATGCCGATTGAAGAATGATGGTCACAGAAAAGAGTGTAAGCTACATTAAGTTAAGATAAAATAAATATAATAAAAAAGAAGAAGAACGGCTTAAAGGAAAATAATTGTCATCCAGGCAGCTAAACTCAAACAATAGTTAGCTGTTCAACATTGGCAAAACATATTTAAAAATATGTATTTAGACCCCTAGCTTGCTCACATTTATGACAATATATCTGCTCACTTTGTTAAAAACGTTTTGTTTCTGTAATTTACCTAGAGTTAGACTCTCCTCCGCTGACATCCATCCTCCACAGCAGCCAGAGGTGAAATGGCAGTTGGGACATTTGATGGACAGTTGAAAAATGATACATTTGAAATAACTCAACCGTGATTGGGCAGGACAGTGCCCAATGACAGTACCCAATGTTAGCCCAGTGTTAGTCAAAACTAATGTGTTGATTATGTGCATTTTTATTTTTCTACGTACACACGTGTGTGTAAAATAGTTCAGAAATGACACTGAATGTGTTGAATTGCCTTTGACACAGCAGTGTTTAAAAAAAATGACACATTAATTCTAGGAGTGTAATACTTTTACAAACACTATGGTAATAATATGCATTCATTATGACAATATCATATTACTATAGGAGTGGTCTATAGTGTGTTCAAAAAACAACTACAGAAATACTATATATTATACTATAGTTATAATATTTAAAATAAAATAGGAATACTACAAAGATCTAGATACATAGTATTACTATTGAAATATTATAGGGCTACTATAGCTAGTAAAATGGCACTACAGAAAAGACTGTAGTAATACGACAGCTGGTGAAAAATACTATAGAACTCTACAAACTTACTATAGGATACTATACAACTCTTATAGTATACTATAGTAATACTATAGTTCATTTTTCGTAAGGGGGGTTGCGTTCAGATAGTTTAAAAATCAGCTCCTAAATTCTAACCCTATCTCCTATTCCTTGACCTCTGAGTGAAACGTCACGGGGTTAAGGGATAATGGATAGGAGAATTCAAAAGGTTTTAGGAGAAGAGACTGCGGTGCTTTAGAGAATCCGACTGCACTTTCACTATCCGACGTGTTTATGATGCGCCAGCGGACGTCATGAATGTGCGTCTGCTGCTGTGGGGAAACTATGGAAACTACAGTTTTCTATACAGCGGACTACAACATGGATGTTTAATAAGAACGAGGGACTACTGTCAACTCATCTAGAGACTCTGCACCGTGCTCTGATGCTGTTGTTTTATGCTTTATGAACGTGGACAACAGAGAAACACATTCTTCATGACCAAAGTTGGAATTGAAATAAAAAAGGAAAGTGAAACTTATGCTCGTCACCCTCCGGTCTACATTAATAAAAAAAATGATCCCAGTATGATTGTATGAACTATGAAAATATCTTAAAATCAATACAAATGTATTTATTATAAACGTTAGTCTTTAACACCTATCACTGTGTATATCACCATTCAAACATCTTTTAAAAGTTGAACAAACCCCACACAGCTCAGTGAAATGTTGACTTTATTTGATCATTTCAGTAAAAACCAACGTTCATATTTCTCTTTTTGATTATAATACTGAGGAACGTTCAAAACAAAGCACTTTGGCAACTTACCACATACGTTTTAAAAAGCTTAATAAGCACCGTAACTTTCATGATATAATTTCTCGGTCATAATCGGTTGTTTCCGTGAACGGCCGACTGTTGTGTGACGTCAAATGCTGCGGCTGCAAGGCATTGTGGGGCAGCATTTTCTCCTCTCCTTTCGGTTAGGGAGGTCCAGTGGTTCCTAAGCTAAAGGAGGTTAAAAAGGAAGTTTGAAACCTCCTTTCCTATCATTCTAGAGAATTCGAACGGCACTTATCATGGCTGCCACTGAGGGACTTCCGGGTCATTTCACTCCGTTAGGAAGGTTCCTAAGCTAAATGGACTATTCGACTGCAGCCATGCTCTGTGCAGTACAGGTTAGCTCTGAGTGTTAACGATGCTAATGTAAACACCGACCATATTACGTCCAAAACAGTCGGGCATTGTTTCTGATAGCAACGTTTCTGATAGTGCTGTTGGTCCGCATTGCCGATTTGACGTCATATCGGAAGCAAATCTGGACCCCCGTTTTTAGCGATTTGGGTACGGAGGAAAAGAGAGAGGGTTTTATTTTCTGACACTGCGTGAGTTCCCTGACACACCGGGGACACATATATGTATAAAATCAAAAAGTGCATTTTGCATGATAGGTCCCCTTTACGTACTATATTGAGTCACTGTTTTTATGGAAAGGATATATGGATGATACATATTTTTCCCTTTTATTCTTAAGTTATTGAAATATTCTCTGACTTACATTCCAAAGAGCCGAGCCACTGTAGTACCAAACCGGTCGAAGAGGACACCATTTGGTAGCATCAGAAAACTGAACAGAAAGGAGGCGATGGTGAAAACAAGAGAAAACTGTTCATCCTGTCCGCTGCAATCTGTAGACACATACAACATAAAGAGAGAGAGAGACAGAGAGGCAAGGTTGTAAAATATATGACAGTTGGATACCAGTTGTTCAAGTAATATTATTTACGCAGGCCTCTCTGACCTTAACCAAAACATTTGAGTTTGTTTGAAGTCGGGTTGTATGAACTTCTTATCCCTAGGCCTAGTCAGTGTTTTTTAGGTGGTCACGTTTTATTTTTATTTTGCTGTCGCCCTTGTTCACAGTAATACATTGCTTAGCTTTCTTTGCCTGTCTTTTTATCCAAACTTTGGACAAGGATCTTTAACAGCCCCACTTTTAACAATCCTAAATATCCCTTTAATGTGCTTAAATAGCTGAAAATTAGTGTCAGAGTGGCCTGCATAAAGAGTTGTTTTTTTATTGCAAACTCATTTGACAACAATTATTAGTCTGGCTATCTCCAGCTTACAATTTAAAATAGTGGAGGTGAGGATATCAAACTGACCTAAGACCTGCGTTGCATTGACTCCTGTGGTGCTGACGCACAGAGAACTGAAGTAGCCCTCCGTCTTTAGGATAAAAACAAGAGAAGCCCATCCAAACACAGCTCCAGAGAAGCACAGACACTCAAACAGACCTGTAACTAAAGTGAGGTAGCGCCACATCATCAAATTGTTCACAAAACCTAGCATGGTCCCTCACACACACTCGTATACAGGTGGCTCCTGTAACTACACCTGCCAAACAAAATAAATGTGAAATGTTATTCTGGTACATTTAGAGAGCACTATGTAAACAGTCAAATATTTACTTTTTTTCCATAACAAATGGACCTGACCTGCATGGCCCAACAAAATCACTCAAATTGAAAATCTATACGTTTCACAAGCAAGACATAGGTTGGAAACATTCTGGGCACTAAATGTGATCCCGGCTAAAAGGTGAGTTTTCTTAAAAAACTGGCAAATCATAGATATCAACAAAAAAGTGAAATCATTTAAAATGTACATCCTTGACTTGGTAAACTCCTGTAAAGCAACAGTTTTTAAAATTGTATTGTTCTCTCTACTTATCTCTAATACTCACAGTTCAGTCTCTGTGGTCTCCCCAAAGGTTTTCCGAAGAAAAACCTCTCTGCTCTTGCCAAACTAGTTTCCTTTATAGAGGTAAGTTCTTCCCTACTTTTTATTTTCTAGTTCCCTCCCTCTGCTCCCTCCCTTAAGAAAAAAATCTCCATCTTACTCTCTGTGTCATTGCAGGGTTTTTTATATACACAACGTTCCTGAGCGCCTTATCACTGCTTGACAGGCTCATAGAAAGGGTGCTTATAATTTATAACTTATAACTCAAGATTCCTCATGATGCTAGAGGCTTCCCTCAGAAAACGCTTTCAATTACCTGCAAAGTTAATCATATGTTAAGTTAGTTAAAAAAAAGGTTAAAAGTTAAACTTGTCAAAATATAACATCTAAACCTAGGATCTGCATCTCTTGTGTGTGTAGGGATTTATGTCTGTACATAGTTAAGGATCTTTAGTCAGATGTCAGATAATCTCAGCAAAGTAGTGTCACAAAGGTCAGCCAGAAAGCCAGTTTTTGCATGTTAAGATATCAATATTAGTTGTGTTTATTAAATATTATTGGAGTGCGATGCTTATGTTTTGGTTTTCTGTGTGCTTCACCTGAGGCCTGAGGTTTATGTGGATTAAAAAAATAAATAATCTACAAAATGGAGGAGACCGATCTGATCGGAGCAACTGTTACAAATAATCCAACTGAAACCGGCATGGACAATGACTATGTTTTAAAAATGCGCTTATCCAGACAAGCCTGGTTTGGACACTTTACAGGCAAAAGAAACATTTCTATTAAAGAAAAAATGATACATTTCTGTCTTTTTATGCCTTTATTAGCTACTAACTTGAATTTTAATTAAAATTAATTAATCAATAATTTTTTATATAGGAAACTGTATTTAAAAAGAAAAATAAAGTCTAAATATGATATTTGGCCTCAAATCATCTGAGGCCTGGCGCACCCCGGTTGGGAACCACTGCCTTAGAGCAGTGGTATGTTTTTTTTTTACATATAATTGTAACGCAATACATGATTGTCACCAAAAGTCTTGTCTCAACATTACAATAAAATATAAAAAATAATTGATCAATTCATTTTAATAAAAATTCAAGTTAGTAGCTATTAATAAGCCCGAGCCTGTTTTTCAGGTCTCAGGCTCGAAAATGACATTCCCAGAACAAATGACCATTATCTTCCCTTCTAAAAGGGTTAAATTAATAATCTTTTTTCTCAAAGCAAGGTTACACCTGTGAGTTGGATGTAGAAGTGTCAGAATCAATATAGATGTTTTTATTTTAAAGTAAATTCAGATTGAACACAGTAAACAAATTTAAATTATTGTGTCCATCCAAAAAAAAACATTACTTATAGTGAAAACCACCCTTGAATAATGGGATGGTAGACTAAAAGCTTTAGGAATCCAAACTACAACATATAATAAGTACCCTGTATCAAGATTGATGCAAAATAAGTGAAATTTGACCTTTTTAAGAGAGATTTAGCAAAAAAAACCCACTTCTGGGTCATTTGGGTGCATGGATTTGACTTATCTCTGGCCCTCCTTGCTCGATTTAGCTGATTGACATCTCTTTCTAACCGTCAGTGTCACGGTAGAGCGAAGGAAGCAGGACCCAAATGCAGATTAAACTGATAATACCTTTATTTCAAGGATAATGAAATACAGTGGCGAGCCGTGACTTTTATACCTAGGCCCTCTGACCCCCCCTTCCCTCGAAAAAAAAGAAGAGATATTACGTCTCAACGTAGACTTCAGCGGAATATCAAAACAGTGGTCCGGGGTGCAAAACGCATCAATGACAGCGACGCTCTACCACACAAAACAACATCCTTTATATAAACACCTATCATGACAGGGCACCCACAGCCAAGTAGCAATTACAAATGAATTAAGTCGGCACGACGGCCCACATTGAAAATGACTTAGGCCTACCTTTGATGATCAAATCACTGAAACACAAAGTCCATCCTCCTGTCCTTTTGGATGAAGCACTTGCGGGTCATTCAGCTGATCCAGAGCCATATAATAGAAGAGTTACGACAACGGAAGTCCAAAAACGGTTATCGTCACGTGGTTCATGTAGAAGAGGATCGTTCCCCGGAAGTTCATGGCGGGCAATGTGAATGCATTGATAACAGGAGATAGAACTACGATTTTTGGTAATTATTAGTGAATAAAGGTTTTGATTTGCAAAATGTATACAACAAATCGATATGTGTATGTATTTACATCAATATGTTTTAAAAAATAAAATAGAATTTGCTAATATTAAGTGATAATATTAGGATTAGTGTGAACAACTAGTTTACATGTTAGGCTAACAGTGCCTTGGTTAAAGAGCCTGTTGCTGTTTATTTATAGCTTTGAATTCTTTAAAACCAATATTATCTTCTTAAACTTGTATGGTAGTCAGGAGCATCACTTTCTAATGTTTGATATATTTAGAGGGAGGGGATCTAAAGTAATGCTTTAAAATTCAGATTAGATTAATGTCTACCATTTTTTTAAATTCATGGTAGTTTCAGTAATCCCATGGTAATTGAGGACACAAGTTATCTAAATGACTAATGTCATCTTTATGACTTTCAGAAAGGACAGGAGACCGACAGGTGACTATCAAAGGACTAGCAGCAGCAGCATGATGATGATGATGTTAAATGTGTTGTTTTAGGAACATCCATTGCAAATACATGGAATTCAATAAACATTGAATAGCATATCATGCAGTTTGTCTGTGCCTTTTCCTCCGTGTTGTGCTGCCTCCTAGTCGCCACCATGTTTGCTGTGCTGCCTGGGGATGCTCCAATCGCTCAGAGAAAGGAGTACAAATGTACAGTTTCCCCACTGACACAGAGCGGAGGAAGCAGGAGCAATTTCACGACCAACAGCAACAAAATATGTGATTTATATACAAACACTGCATTTGCACTTTTTCACAAAACGAAAACCACACCATTGGGAAAGCTTAATGTTTTGTTTAATACAAAAAACAGGGAAAGGCTTGAAAAACACAGAGTTGAGACTCAGGGTGCAGGGTGAGGGTCTCAGTGCAGGTATTCAGGCTCCATTGAATCCCCCTCTGGTTCTTGTGCTGAAAGAGGGATAAACAGACAGGAGAAAGGGTTATACACACCTATATAGCACACCTATTGGATGGGAAATTGCCTTGGGGAGATAAGGTGTGGTCTTTGTTCCCAACTGAAGTTATGGAACTTTATTATTTGTGAGTTTAACAAAGTATGACAAATGGCATCAGTAACATATGTGATATGAATTTCTATAAAGTTGTCTCACATTCTTGGTCATATTTTATATACAGTATGTAATGAGTATAACATGTCCAGTAAGTATAAAGTGTTTCCTAATACTGTGTATTCAACCACTATGGAATATGTATGTGGGCAGACAAGATTCAGACACAGTTGTTCTGTGTGTGAAGTAACCTCAAGTCACTCCGCAGGCACATTTTGATGCAGACCAGTTTGTCAAGACAAAAAAGGGCAAGGCTGAGAGCAGAGGCTATACCCACCATCTTCGTGCATCGCCCTGTGGTCAAAAAGAGAAGGGCCCCTGCACCACGATTCACCCCGGGACCTGTATCTACAAAGCCCATAGCTCATGATTACAGCGATAGTGTGAAAGGTGACACAGGTATCATAAGTATGAACTCTTAGTAACAAAAGTAATATTTCTTATTTTTAAGTGGTATAATATTTTAAATGTTCGAACATTTACAGTGCCATGTCTTCTACTTACATTAGTCTCAAAGATTGAGGGAAGAAGGGAAGGGATCACTGCCCTCCACCTGCCAGAGGAGCGCAAACAACAAAAACAAGCAAGGTGTCCTGTCATGTACCTGGAAGTTTGGGTTGGCAAAATGGAGTAAGAGAGGGACTTGAAAAACCTTGGTGGCTGTCTACTCATGTTGTTACAGTTGTCTTGGTTACAGCTCTCAAGTTTTTTTGTGTGCCATTTCCACATCTTTAGAAAATATGAAAAAATTGAAGTGAAATCAACCTCATCTCTGGAGAACAAACTTTGATTTCTCTGCCTTGTGAGTTTGCAGTCTTGCTCCTCCACCTGTAACATCACTGCCCCTCCACCTGCCATACAGTAGGTTACTAACAATATTACTTATATAATACAGTGATAGAATACATGTTTAGTATGCTTACTTATATAAAACAGTAGTATTAAACTTACCTTGTGTTTTCACACTCACTTAAGTCCCTCTCCCTTTACCATCAATCCAAAATCAGCTGAGCTGCAACATTATACAGGCAGGTAATAATCAACATAATCACAAGGACACACTATGGCTCTGCTAAAAACACTCACTCTTACACGCACCAAAGTTATATTTATCTAATATTTAACTCCCTCCACCCCCGCATACAATCCTGTTTAGAAGCCCCTCTTCTCTAATTCAACAACGTTGGACCAAATGACATTAAGAGAATGGAATTTACAATTAAAAGGTTGTTCAACGTCTGTTGCTAACTTGCTTCGGTATCCTAGCTTGATCTGTTATCTGTAAACGTTCCCTAAATCTACTGATTTAGGGATAATCCACTGACATCCTTTAATACACATGTTAATTTGAATCAGATGTACTGATAATATCCGCAATATAAATCTTTAAACTTCTTCTTACCTTTAAAAGTCCGTCACGAACGGTTATTATGCTGCAACTCTACCGCTCTGCTAGCCTTGGCGCTAACTGCCGGTGTTCCGGATTGACTGGTTCCCCGATCAACTGGTTGACAGATGTGGAGGCGTGGCCTCGACTGAAATACACATTTCGATCGCTTCTTCTGTCGTTTACATACATCTTTTGGTATATTTGGCTGGATAGGAACACTTTGATGCACATTCAGTACCCGTGTGTGAGGTTGTGCTTACGATGTCAATATCCGGACGCCAACAGCGAGGACTACAAAAAGAAAAACGAGTTGATCGGGGATGTCTGTTCAAAACATTGCGAGCTCCAATAAATCATTTAAACCAGCTATTGTTGCCAGACTTATTTCTGAATATCGTTCTTAATGTGATACCAAGTCCATCTGATACCTGTGTACACCTTCAGACAGCCTCCAAGTGAATCACACGTTCTTTACTCACAGTTTGAAAGCAGCGTGGAGAAGTCTTCAGCTGTGTTAAACTGTGATCCGCTCGAATAAATCCTTAAAACCAGCTATTGTTGCCCGATTTATCACTGAATATCGTTCCTAATGTGATACCAAGTCCATCTGAGACATGTGTACACCTTCAGACAGCCTCCCAGTGAAGCGTACGTTGTTTACTCAGAGTTTGAAAGCAGCGTGGAGAAGTCTTCTCTGTGTTAAACTGTGACCCTCTCAGGTAAACTGATTCGCCCATGGGAAAATGGGATCCGCCCAGATTAAACTGTGTTACGACTTCTGTGGCTATCTACCAGCAATGTCTACCTTGTTAAAAAGTTCCAGAAAAATGCAACCCGACCATCATTTATAATGTGAGCGAATGTACACTTTAAGCCATATAATATACATATTATAATATAGTATACTGACTGAGGTCTGTATCAAGCCTCATTAAGACCCACCGAGATCAGATATCCTAGTTTATCAGCCTGCGAGCCCACATTATGTTGTGACAAGTGTTAGTTTTACATATAAGTGTGTTAAGGTTAATCTAAAATATTATAGTGTGGTGGTTCGATACGTCGTGTTGATCCGTGGCGCACTCATAACGCGCAGGGCTGGAGTGACTTTTGCTGTTGGAACTCGGGTTTGAGTCCAGCATGAACTTTTTTGTTATTTTCATGTCGATGGACACTGAATATTATGTGGTTTGAATAGAGGATTCCTAATATTGTTTGCCGAGACCAACATTAATGACCCATCAGCATTTTAAAGTCTAATATCCCTGCACATGCAGCAATGACATTTCTGCTGCTATCTTTGCAAAACGAGTTAACAGTCACATGTTATCTGGATGAGTGCTGCAGAATGCCGTTTTTATAAGGCATGTAGATGTGTGTGTCTTTCATATTAAACATGATAGCTGGTAGATAGCCACAGAAGTCGTAACCCAGTTTAATCTGGGCGGATCCCATTTTCCCATGGGCGAATCACAGTTTACCTGAGAGGAACAGTTTAACACAGTTGAAGACTTCTCCACGCTGCTTTCAAACTCTGAGTAAACAACGTACGCTTCACTGGGAGGCTGTCTGAAGGTGTACACATGTCTCAGATGGACTTGGTATCACATTAGGAACGATATTCAGTGATAAATCGGGCAACAATAGCTGGTTTTAAGGATTTATTCGAGCGATCACAGTTTAACACAGCTGAAGACTTCTCCACGCTGCTTTCAAACTGTGAGTAAACAACGTGTGCTTCACTTGGAGGCTGTCTGAAGGTGTACACAGGTATCAGATGGACTTGGTATCACATTAAGAACGATATTCAGAAATAAGTCTGGCAACAATAGCTGGTTTAAATGATTTATTGGAGCTCGCAATGTTTTGAACAGACATCCCCGATCAACTCGTTTTTCTTTTTGTAGTCCTCGCTGTTCGCGTCCGGATATTGCCATCGTAAGCACAACCTCACACACTGGTACTGAATGTGCATCAAAGTGTTCCTATCCCGCCAAATATACCAAAAGATGTATGTAAACGACAGAAGAAGCGATCGAAATGTGTATTTCAGTCGAGGCCACGCCTCCACATCTGTCAACCAGTTGATCGGGGAACCAGTCAATCCGGAACACCGGGGAACGAATGAGAGGCTCCACGATCCGCCATTGCTGTAAAAAAGTGGTCCATTGGAGTGAACGGAGATGTCATAACTCTTCTATTAGACGGCTCTGAGCTGATCCTTTGCCACTCCAGTTTATCATTGTAACTACTCGGTTAATAATTTCGCAACGATGTCATCACTATCACTGAAGTGAGCCATCATGAACGAACTTGTGCTAATCATAAATCTATCGATCATAAATCTATCGTTTAGATTTATGATTCAAAAATAATAAAAGTAGGATAGACATGTGGATATTATCCGGCTGAACACAACGTGCATTTATCTAACAGGTTCGTTTTCCACAGACCTTATTTCGAGCTATTTTCCAAAATCCTATGGAGAAATCCCGTTGCTTTCTGTCGAGGGAATCCGAGCGAAGCTTACTTCCGGGTTTTAGGATGCGTCACTGCACCCATAGATATATATAAACACTAGATGGCTCATGGGAGATTTTCCAGCGTAGCTCACCGGCCTCCATCTTGCTACAGTCAACAGCTACTCTGGTACGCGCTATGGTAGCTGTTGTAAGGTGAGTGATCTGCACAAAAATACTCTTAAATCTTGACTGATTTACAAACGATTTTGTTTATTATAAACGTTATTAGTATGGCTATGATACAGGATGCTTGGACATGTTGAAATTGCAGCTTTTCTTTGTGTATGACGTGGTTGTATTTATTAGCTGGCTAATAACAAGAGGCTGTGAGTGAGACCTAGTATTACAAAGTTGACCCAGCAACTTTACACCAGTGGGAGAGGCAGAACTGCTCTTTCTTTTCAACATAATTTAAGTTACACATGATTTCTTCCAAGTGGTCGGGCTTGTTAAAAACATCTTACATTTTAGATACATTATGATACAGGAAATTGCTGGCTTTGTGTTTACAGAAGTACCTGACTGCCTGGCTTTTGTGCAGCCTACGGCTGCTCTAATCGCTGCAGTCTGCAAACAAGAACCCGTGGAATCACCTTTCACCTGTAAGATATGACAATATTATGACTATAATTAGAATAATCGTTAATTACTTAGTGGATGTATGTACATTACAAGTCCTGCTACACAGGATCAGTGGGGCTATGTGAGATAATAGTATTGCAAGATTGATGTTGACCCAGCCTCTTTAGAACATGTTGTTACCATTTCTTTACACAATTATGTAATGTTTCTTTTGGACACCTTTTTTATTACTCTTAGTGTGGTTGTCTTATTCTTAAAGTATACATACATACATTACATACATACATACATACATACATACATACATACATACAATTACCCCAAAAATATGATAATTTCGGTGTGTATTTTTGTCCTTACCCTTAATGTTAAAGGAAAGAAGGGCGGACAATGTTGACAATAATTTATATATCTGGCTACCTTTCTCATGTTTTTAAGGTTTCCCAAAACCGGAGAGAGGAGGAGGCAGTGGGAAGTTGCCCTAAGAAGGGACGGTTTTGTTTCCTCTGGCAGGACGCTGCTCTGCAGTGAGTACTTCAGGAGTGAGGACTTTGACAGGACGGGGCAGACTGTCCGGCTTAAAGATGGTGTTGTGCCAACAGTATTCAATTTCCCAGCTCATCTTCAAAGGGTATGTGTATCATTGGCCAACAAGAATTCAAGGTGTATAAGATTGATTGATAAATATGTGATTAAATGTCACACTTTAGTTTTTCTTTCTGCAAGTTTAGGAATAAATAATGTGTTGTGTATTAAAGCACATTTTAAACACTCAAAATGTCTTTAATTATGTTTATTTTTTAGCCGGAAGCAACAAGAAGCACAACCACTTCAAGAAGAGCGGAAGATGAACCTCAGCCTAATGTTGTGAGTATTCTGAATGTGGCCAAGACCAGAGAGATGGTCATTGATTTCAGGAGGGTGAGGACATCTCTTCTACCCCTGTGCATTCTGGATGTGGCTGTTGTGGAGGACTACAAATACCTGGGAGTGCACTTAGACAACGGACTGAACTGGAGGATCAACAATGATGCTGTGCACAAGAAGGGGATGAGCAGACTCTATTTTCTGAGGAAGCTGAGATACTTCCACGTGTGCAGCAAGATGCTGGAGATCTTCTACCGGTCTGTTGTGGCCAGTGCACTCTTCTTTGCTCCGGTCTGCTGGGGGGGCAGCATCAGAGCCGGTGACACCAGCAGGATCAATAAACTGATTAGGAAAGCTGGGTCTGTCATCGGCATCAAGCTGGACCCCTTTGAAGCTGTGGTAGTGTTAATTTCGTTGACTAAAACAATGACGAAATATGTTCGTCAACGACCTTTTTTTCCATGACGAAAACGAGACGATGACGAGACGGCACCGACGGCAGTAAACAATAACTGTAACGAAATCATCATGTAATATCGTTGACGAAAAGTGACTAGACGAAAATGTAGTTTACTAAATAAAAACTATGCCAAAATCTCTCTTTACTTTCGTTGACGAAAAATGAGGAGGCGAAATATTATCAAAGATAACGTTACATCTCTGATCGTCAGTTTTTCTCCCAGCAGTTCCATTTCCGGTGCTGCGCGCGTCGGCACATTTGAATTACACCGGGCAGCGGCACAATATGAACTGTCAGGAAGACTCGGGTCTAACTCATGGTCTCTAACTAACTAACCTTATTCAACATAAAATAAAATGGCAACAACAGGGCTTGGGAGCAGTGGTCGCACTCGCGTTAACCAAATACCCCCCGTCAGCGCGAGTGAGTGATAAATTGTGTACTCGACGGGTAATAATGGATTATGACGGAAATGTTACGATCCTGTCCGTCAAAATGAGCTGGACAGTCAACGGAGCTCCTTCTCCAACAGACTGCTGCAGCTCCGCAGTGCCATAACTCAACAAATCACCTCTGGCTGGAAGATCCAAGATCTCTGCTCCATAGTTTCTCTTGAATATAACCACGTTGTACATTTTACACATATATAATCTATTTAATATTTAACATTAATATTCCATATGCCTTATATTTATGTATATTATATATATATAATATCCTGACAAACTCAACATGTATATTTTCCTTTTTCTTTATTTGTCTTGCTTATTTCTAATTCATTGTAAAATGCCTTGTCCCTTATGCTGCTGTAACTAAAAATGTTTTCCCAAATTGGGATCAATAAAGTACCATCTAATCTTGTTTTATTTGCATGTGGAATGTCACTAACAAATGAGAGCATCATATGGCTTGTCATATTAAATCCTTTATCTCGGTGGTACCCAGGAAGGTCTATGATGGTGTTACTAGAAGAGCCCAATATAATTTGAGGCGGTACTCTGTGTAAAAGGTTTGAGAACCACTGGCCATCTCACTTGCTCTATGTCACTCATACACTTGAATAAACATGTGCAAACATTGAAACTACACCCAGGGATTGGAAACCTTTACAATCAAAATAGCCATTTTTGTCCAGAGCCTCAAAACATATTTTTGCCTTATAAGGGGAAAAGCCTATTAAGATCAATTTCTTAAAAGTACGCTGAGTTGTGTTTTCTGTTGGAGAATGTAAAAAAAATCAGGCTCATAGTATTGATAAGTGAACATTGAATTGTTAAAAAAGTAACTTATTAATTTCCATATTACTATTATTTATATATTCGTATAATTGTGATAAATGAGACAGAACTGGCCTGTCTGTGAGCTCATTTTATGTTGGTTTGGTTCTTCTGATAAAGGTGTGAATATCTAAATAATATACCACCATATGCTATTGTCATTAGTTGTGTCCCTATTCTTCAAGCTAAGGCATTGCTAAATTAACAACGCTTGGCTTACAGAGTGGTAACATGAGACCGATTTTTATATATAAAATATAAATATATTTTAATTTTATAATTTATTTTAAATATTAACAATATAATAAAAATAAATGGAAATATATACACCGGCAAATATTTAATATAAATACCTTGTGTGTGTGTATAGCTATTGCTTTATCTGCTTAATGTTATTTTCATAAGAAAGTCCACGACTATAAGTATACAGTATCATAACTACATCTTTGATGTTTATAAAAAACCAAACCGTTTGAAAATTGGTTGAAAATTGAGCAAGCTATGGTTATTTAAATAGTAAACCATAATGTTATGAATGAGAGCACTACCTGTAGCAAGATGGCGGCCATGTGGCAACGTCGGTCTCCATTGGCCAGCAGCGCGGGTGAGTAATCTAGTGTTTATATATATCTATGACTGCACCACTTGCATAGACCTCACAGCGGGCGGAACCTGTCATAAAGTCCGCGAAAATAAAGCCCGCCCATTTAGAGGGAAGATATGATTGGTCAATTGTACTGTCATTTGACATTACTCTCTCGTTGAGTTACGATAGCGGGCCCCTCTGTGAATGTAGAGAGGGACCAACCGGGACCAACAAGCTCTCCCGTCTTCACAGTAACTCACAGAGACGGCATTTAACCCTTCACATTCCAACAGAAACTGAACAGGCAGATTCGAAGGATTTATTTCTTTGGAAATATTATTTTAAATACAATTAAATCAAGTTATTTTGGTAAAATGAATGAAAAATGTAACAACAAAAAAATATAAAAAGTAATAAACATAGACATAAAGTGTCTGTCCATTTATTTTATAGATTAAAAAAACACATCTATGTATTTTCAAGCTAAAGGTGATGCACAATATAAACTGTATACTATTATTTTTTCAAAGACATGTTACATTTCAAAAGCATATATTGCTATGTTTAGGACAAACAATTAAAGACTGCTTTAATTTAACAAATTCTACAATATAAAAATGGCAGATTTGCTTTATTAAACAGACCAGACCTAGGCTGCATACCAACACAATTAGGAACATGCTCACATCTTACTATGTTGGTCTGAAGAGCTGAAGCATTCATACACAATGGATACAAACTGTGTTGTCTCATTTTATATCCTGTGAGAAAATGATATACATTTAGCATGAACAACTCTCCATACTATTCCTAGCCTGAGGAAGATATGAATAATCAACAGATTTGAATGGAATCTCTAACATTTTCATGTAGAATAAAGACAAAAGAGTGATTATACAAATTACATTTATTGAAATTTGAACCAGAAGATGAAGTCTCAAAGAATGTTTAAAATAAAAGGACATAAAACAAAAAGGTGGATAATAATAACATCTATTAAATGTAAAGACATTTGGTCAAATGAAATGACACTGAGCCAGTGATAAGTAACAGCAACGCCCAGCGTGGATGAAGATGGTGCAGGTCTTTCTTCATGCCCCCCCCTCCGTGCTGTCCCCTCAGAGGAAGTGGGAAAACGGGATAAGACCTCTGGACGCCACGCTGTCTCAATGATCCACACTGTTAATATGAGAGGAAAATAATGTTTTAGGAAATGAAAAATATGAAATTAACAAATAAAACACAGCTCAGGGGCAGTCATGGACGGTAGGTTTTCCTACAAAGTTAACTCAGCCTCCATTGATTTTCATATCGAATTAGCGTGTTAATAAAATAAGCTATCATGGCTTATACTTGCATATCTAAATTATCTTTCTTTCTTACAGTGCAGATGCTTTTCTGCTTGCTCCTGCCTCTGCTTACTTTTTATGCTGATTTTCCTATTCTTATTCTCTGAAAACTTCGAGCAGTGGCTCCTGGACATGAACTTATCACTGGGACAGTTCATCTTCGTAAATAGACGGAGGGTTTCAGCCATATTTCAACATTTTTACGACGACCTCAGTCTTACAGTAGCGTGGCCTAGCAACAGCTAAAGCCTGGTAGGCTACTGCATGCTATTTAGCTTAAGCTAGTTGGTAGCAAAATGCCTCCGTTCTCTACAGATGACTTCCACAAACGTATACAGAAGATAGCTGTGTTGGAAATGAAAATGCAACGGTTGGAAGTTAACGTGGAAGTGAATGGACTATGTCATGGGAATGACACCACTTTACCAGTGTTGCAAAAAAATGGAGAAGGGTATGCTAACTCACAGCTAGTTAGCAGCTACAAGGATTCCAAGGAACAGGAGGGCTGTGTACCGGGTAATAAATCTACAAGTGGTAGTCCTCCCTGGAACTCTCTGGGTGCAAAGCCTAAGAGTAAATCATTTCCATGGGATTTGGGAGGACGGATAACATGCAGAGCCCAGCGCTCTGAAATCTGTGATGCGACCGGCTGGCCTGCATTGTTATCACCCAGGAAGAGCGCCTCTTCAACCCCTATTCATACTGTAGAGGAAACTTCTGTGTAGCAATGCTGTGGGAGTCACCGACTCAGGAAGGAGACACGGTAGGAGCAGTAGCTTTGATGTCAAACACTGATGGTTTATTTGGAGTTACGGCCGGAGGATTCACATCACAAGTCCACAGCAGTCCCGGTGATACTGCACGGGTGGGTTGCCACGTAAATTCTGGAGAGCCTCTCTCTTGCCAGCCCATTTAACTGGTTCCACAGAGAGTCATCAACATGTTTTGATAAGATAGCTTTAGATAGTTTGGGCACACTAAGTTACCAGCTTCCGCCACTTATGGCCTTGGATATGTCATGCCCTGGAGTCCTCAGACAACAGACAAGGAAGTGTCCCAGTGTACCCACAATACAGACCATCTGTGACCCAGTATTGACCGGTCACAGAATGGGAACAATAACATTATTGGCTGAAGCAGCCTGTGTCCTTAAAGGAGGTAAACAGACGTCAAGGTTTGTCCTGTATGTCACATCTTGGCGTCTATGATAATTATTTCCCTAACAGTCCACTCTTTTTATCATTTATGATAACCTAAAAACATTAGTCTAATAATCATTTGGTCAATAATTAACTCAATAGGCGTCTCCAGATTCGAGTGTGGTCTCACCTTACATTAATTACATCACAAAGTAGAATAAGATTGAAACATTCAATCACAATGATTGATACAGCCAATCATAATAGGAAAAATCATCTCTCATCAGTGGTTTGATCATCTTTTGTCAAAAGCATAATAATGAACACACATAAAACACAGGTGCACAATAGCTAAATATTTGTTTTAAACTAATATATTTGATCATTTATCATTAGTTAATTTCATTCATCAAACTATAAAATCAAAACCAGCTTGCCGCTTTAAAGATTTACTTCAAGGCAATCACTAGTCAAAAGCATTTTAAAACTCAGGATCGTAAGAGATCCAGCTAAAAATTCACAGTTAGAGTATATAATTCACACTGGTGATTTGATCAATCTGTAATCTGCAAAAGTGCAGTGTCCTCAATTTTAGGATTACTTTTACGTTTACTTAAATACGCTTTAGTCAAGAGTAAGGCACTTAGTGAAATCAATACATTCATTTTAGTCAAGAACATTGTTCAAAATCTGAAAAGGAAAAGTTAGGCAAATATTCAAAGACTTTTGTAAAAACCTGGAAAGGAAGGATTAAACATTCTTAAAACTTGAATTATTACATTTGTAAATGCTACCACTGATCTGTACCAAATTAAGTCTATCAATTATTCCTATTAGCCATACTTACCTGAGCATCTACTTATGGTACTTGGAAAGGATTCAATTTCTTTAAATTATACTTCTCTAATTTGAGGATCAAATGTGCTACATAATTTTTATATGAAATATTATAAATATTAGTTTTGGGCCAAAACTGAAATCAATCCAGTACTTGAAACATCATTGTAGTTCTTTCTGTGCATGGATAATACATTAAAGAGTAGTGTTGTTAAGCCTGATTGCTGGACGATTAAGGATATTAACATTATCTGTGATAATAGTAGAAATATGTTATTATTCAATCTGAAAATATTAATTAATTAATTTTATTTAGTGCGAAAGTGTAATCTGATCCGGCAAAAATATATTAATCACCACTATTCAACACATGTCTGGTCATTGGAAATATAAAGACAGTCATTAATTATACATATGTAACCATCCAAGATATAAAATCAATTCAAAGTTCATCTTTGTACGAGAGCTGGAAAAACGTGTCCTTCAGTCTTTCTGACTCGTTCTCCTCCTCTCTTTATGACAAAAAGTGTCTGGTGTGTAAAGGCATCCTGATACTGTAGATTAGCACTGAGGTGCTGATTGGCTCAAACTCTTCTTCATCAGAGCGCCATATTTAAACCCCCCAATTGCTCTGCTTTTGTGTGGCTCATTAGTGAGCACTGTAGTTGATCCCCCCAGTGAAACGGAGGCTCATCCGCCTGCATTCCTTCTGCTATCTGCTTGAGAGCAGTGCCAGACAAAACTGCGTATTCCAAGTGGCGCATCCAGG